GAAGGAAAAGGCTCTGATGTGTACATGAAATAAATAATATGCAATATAAAATGGATAACTCGCGAATGTATTAATCAGATTCAGCATTCAGCTAAAAGTGGACGCTTCTCTGGACGAGGTCAGTTTTCAATGGCAAAAGTCCTGCTTGCCTTAGCTTAACTTTTGTTGTGTAAAACGTAGGTATTGTAAATTTTTTCGTTTTGTCATTTTTAAAAGAAAGAAATAGGAACTTCTTTAAAAATAAAATAAATGTGTTTGTTTACTTCCCCCAAATTCATAAAATATAGTTTGAAAGAGGTGGGCGTCTTAGTAAGAAACTCTTCGTTATGTTCCAAAGTGGAAAATTTTGGCGTAAACCAGCTGAGTACACCAAATTTCATCAAAAAATATATTTTTATAATTTGCGCCTATTTTTCTGAAGATTTATGCTTTTCTGGCTAAAACCAGGATATACTATAAATTTTATCATAACAACATTTACCATTTCTGCCCACAAGTGCTGTGGGCGTGGCAGCGCGTCGACTTTAACCATTTTCCACATTTTTTATTTTCTAAGTGCAGCAATTTCAGCGAATTTGTAGTACGGTTACTACTCTTGGTCGCAGCTTATATGGGGACGTCCCACTGTGCGTCGCTTTGATAGTAAATATGAGGTATTAATCAAACAACTACAAGGCCGCACTTTCGTTAACACACCTCCAAAATGATGTGGCGGCAACGAATAGGTCGTGATACTGTTTGTGCTCTTGTTTATTTTGTATAGCCAATACGAGAATGCCGCTAAACAACAAACAAATATGCATTTCACAAGTTATTAGGAGTATTATGAAAGCCATATGTAGATAGTATGTGTGTACATTAGAACGTACCAGAACAAAAGTTAACCGTAAAGTCTTTTTGAGACGCAATTGCCAAAATAATTTGTTTTTGACAGAACGTAGGGGCGCCTTTTTAATTTTTTTTCGCCATATCTTCGGCACTTAGAGTGGGATATTAAAGTAAGATACATACATATGTATGTCGATGTTCTAGTCTCCAGAAGAAAATTGTTTGTTGTTATAACCTCAAGTACCCCGTTCAAGTACATACTTATCCACCAGATCTCTGTATTTGTGAAACCGAAAAAAGTAAAGCAACGACCCCTAGGTTCGACCAAAAATATAAACAATTTTTTTCAAATTGTCTCGCAAAAATACTTTCGACTCAGGGGTGTGCGGCGAACTTTTTTTGTTTGCTTGTAAGGTGGTACGGTTTAATGAATGTAAATATGTGCATCTTGCTATATGAACATACAAATGTACGTGATTTTGTGCGGATATGATGGTATTAAATATGAAACGTCTTTGAATTTTTCGCTAAAAGGTGACGCATTCGTTATTTTGCTTTTATTGGTAGTAGTGGGTACTGAGCAAATATGCACTTGCACACGCGCACCGGTACAAAGATCACCTTGGAAGGTTAACACTTTGCGACGTGTTGGAAAAATCCGTTAACTTGTGGCAACACGAACACTAGAGCGAAGTAAATAAAATGGCAAAAATAGGAATACACATTTTAAAAATAAGTACATACTATTTTAATGCGAACATGATCAAGCAAAAAATTGTTATTTTTTTGAAATGATTAATTATCTCAAATTTGTTGGCCATGGCTTATTTGTTTTTAGTTAGGTTATTTTTGGTGTTGTTTGTTTGTACCGATATGTCTTTATTATCAAAATTATATCAGGCTAATGA